GGGGTTCCACAGGCATGATGTTGTTCTCCGAGCCTATTATGGGTGCTTCTACTTCTTCAGTTGCAGAATTATGCCTGTCTTCAGAGTGAATTCAAACTAAGAAATGCTGCTGGCCACCAACAGGTAGCCAACAAACCAATGAACTCTCTCTCCTCCTTTTCCAGCTAAGCAGTCCCATGCTGCCAGGGGGAAGCAGGGAAAACTTCACTGCTTCTATTCAAGACTAGAAATGCCGCTCAAATACCACTTGCTATGAATGCCAAATCCTCGGCTACTTTCTGAGAAGCCTCTTTTCAGGAGAAAGCAGAGCTCCCCTTAAGTCTTCAGAGAAAGTCCACATTCAAATTTCCCCAGAAAAATAGGTAACTAGGCTCAGGAGTCATTAAAAGGGAAATTAATGAGCAGCTTACTGAGGCAGAGGCTTGCATTTCTCTCAGCAGGGCTTCAATCCTGCCGCTTTGTTGGTGCACTGTGGCTTCCAAGCTGGTGTTTTGAATTTCAAGGCTTAAAGAGAAATACAAGTCTTATTAAAGAAAATTCTCTAAGGAGAGCACCAATTCCAGATGTACAGTGTGAGCAAACAGAATCAAAACCAAGAGAGTCCTTCAAAATCAGAGCATGTGTCCTGTTGTTTCCTCCCAATTCCTTCAAGCAACAAGACCCCTCGGCTGACTCTGTTCCTCCCTCACCGTTTCACGTGTTCTTCCAGTTGTTTCACAGTAGTCTGGTTCTCAAAATATGCTGACAGCTGGTCCTGCAGTTCCTGGGCAGCAGCTAGCTCTTCTCTTTCCTTCTCATCCACGGAAGCCATCAAGTTCTGAATAGAACGCTCGGAATTTTGGTATTTTTCTTCCACCTCTCGCAACTGAAAGTCACAGAAAGAATGCACAATCATCAGGTGACCTTTTATACACAGCATTCAACTGCTGCCCAAGGATTCACGTGCTGCAGATATCTGCCCATACTGCAGCAGTTGTGTCCCAGTGAGCAGCATTTCAGCAAAGGCTCCCAGGTGAACTGCACCGTCAGACCTGCTCTGGAGTTGGGAATCAGGCCCGGCTGCTGGGGGAGTGTTCTGAAACCGGGAAGATCTCAAATGTAGAGCAGAGAGAGGATTGCCATGCCCCTGACTGTGATGTAGGGAACCCCTGAGGAGAGGCAGCTCTACCTCAACATGGTGAGGAAGGGGGGGAGCGTAGGGGCAGGAGGGACAGAGTCAGAACAAAGCCCAATATAATCACTACTTCCTTAGATCTCTCTCCTTCTTGCTCTCAGGATACTCTTTTTTCCATTTTCACGATCAACAGGAAAGTGTCAACCACCCCACGATTTATTCCTGTACGGATAGGCTTTCCATACCTCCGCTTTAACCTTCTCCAACTCCTCCTGCAGGCGCAGATTGTCTTCCTCCACATCAGCCTCATGGCTTGTAGTAACCACAAGAGCAGTCCTAAAGCATCCAGAATTTGATAAACACATCCATTTCAGCATAGTTTTTCCCTGATTGCTCCCAAATCAACTCTTTCCCCTTTTCCAATAAGCACAATGAAAGGAAAGCCAAGTACATGGAAGCTTGGAGAATTCAGCTCACAAGAGACCTCAGGACGTCTCCAGTCCCACTGCCTCCCCAGTGCAGCCTTGACTACGACATAAGGTCACGCCACTTAGGGCTCCTTCTGCTGCTCTTCAAAATCCCCCTGCATGCACCTGCACAAACTCTTGGGCCAAGCTATTCATCTTTTGTCTTTTTATGTGGTTGGAACCCATCATTTCTCCTTGGACAAGCTTCTTCTCTTTCTCCCAGTGCTCCCATTCATACCACTTAAGGCACCAACTGTTCCTTTGCTTAAAAACCCCTCTCCTGCCGAGTAACCTTGCTGCTTGCGGCTAAGTGGAAGGCCGGCAGCACACACTTCCAACAGCTCTCGAGCCACCCAGGCAGCTCCAAGCCGTGAAAAGCTCTGGAGTTCACTCTCCCAGTTGACAGGACAAATCTCGCTGTTCAAGCCATTAGCTTGAACGCCATCCCACACAAGCCCTTAAGAGCGGTGCGGTGCTTCCACATGGCATGCAAAGCTGCCCCGGGGGGCCTTGGTCGCACCATGCCGATGCTCTCCTTCTGCATTTTCCTTACGAGAAGCCTGCCGAGGCCTAGCGGCGTTTGGCTCAGAAAATGCCACGGCTGCGCCTGCCAGAAGCAGCCAAGGTGTCCCCTCAGTGGCCCACAGAACTGACCGCCTCTGCTGCTCTGGCGGGTCGATGCCGACTCTCTTGAAACACCAGCGCCACCGTCTCAGCCAGGCCAGGTGGCCGCGGGCAGCCGCGCGGTGCAGCCTGCCCTGGACCTCGCCATTGAGCTCGGGGGCACCGGTGGCGGCGGCACAGGGCTGCCCAGACGGGCTATTGGATGGCGACTGCTGTCGCCTGCTGCTGAAGAGCCCCCCGACTCTCTTCTTCAGGGCGTGCCACGACATGGCCCTGCGGGGGGGATCCAGCAGCCGGAAGCACCCGGCGGGCTGGTGCCTCCAGGTGTGGCTGGGAACACGGGACGGGGAAAACGAAGGGGACGAGGACAGGCACTAGGCGCAAGGCAGACGAAGTCGCCCCGCGCAGTGGCTGCGGCCACGAGCCTCCGAGACGGCGGCAGGGACGCGCAGTGCTCCCAGAGCGGGACGGGCCGCTGCTCCCGGAGAGGGTTGGGCAGCTCTGAGCGCCGGCTCCGGGCAACAAGAGAACCGCGGCCCCTGCGCGTCTGCGGCGTCACAACGGCCGGCAGCAGGCGGGGGGTTGACCGGTGGTGTAAAAATACGGCACGGGCACGGGCACGGGCATGGCACAGGCACAGACAAAAACACAGACATGGCACAGGCACAGGCACCGGCCGGCTGTGAGGGCGGGGCTGCCCGCGGCCCGTGAGGCGGCCGGCGGCACTGTGCTCTGCCTCGCTTCGGGCTGCCCTGGGGCACGGCCCGGGCTGCTCCGGCCGGGCCCGAGGCTGCGGCAGGCGCTCGAGCAGCTCTCGCCTCACCCCCTCTGGGTTCTTCCCACAGCGCATGGCCGGGGTGCTGCTGGGCACACGTCCTCGAAATGAAGCTGTGAGAATGTGTGATTTGTGTCACGAGGCGATAGTAGAAATAGAACCGTGCGACTGCTGTATGCTAAGTGGAAAAAGTGCCTGGGATGATCATAAGAGTCACTTTTAAGAAAGCCAAAGAAAGCATGGAACAATGTCTGCTTGCATCAAAATAGGAACTTGTGCTTTGATTTGCTAGCATAGAACAAAGAATAAGCACATTGTGAAAACTGTATTCAGCAAATAAGTGTAGTTCTATAAACAGCTGAGACCTACGCACGCGGAGAGAAAAGGTCCCGAAAAAGACATTGAGGAAAACGACCAGCCTTCACCCAAAAGACCACCGAAAGAGGGCAAGCGACCCCCTAGCAACAGCAGCGCCTGCACAGAAGATGACTGTCAACGTGAAATCAAGGAAAGAAAAGAAGGTGGGGGTTACCAGGAAAAAAACTCAGACTGTATAAAAAAGCTGAACTAATGCTACGTGGCACGTGTCGTTGGTGGAGCGGTGACTCCGCACGCACCCAGCGCTGTTTGCTTGCTGCTTTTTCAGTTAATAAATAATCATTGGAGAGATCATAATTTCTCGTGAATTTATAACAGCAGCAACATGTGTTTCTCTTAGATAGAGATTCTTCAGTTAATCTGGAGAGAACAGGCGTTTCCTTCTGTCAGTCGATCACTCTTTTTAGTAGGGGTAGGTGGTGGGTCCTGGGTCTGAGGATGATGATGCAATGTTTATATACTCAGAATGTTGCTTGCTTCTAAGGACTGTGTGGTCTCAAATTATACCACACCATCTAGACAGAAAGGTTAAAAGGAAAGAAAAATCCAAAACAAAATCAAAAACAAAGACAAAATTAATTGCAGGACGACAGAGCTGGCAGACAGCAGGCTGTTACCGCTGCAGAAGGATGGCGGTGGAATGCCTCCACCGATGGCTGCAAGGAGGGAAAGGGCCCTTAAAACCACTGCGGCCCTTGCCTGAAGGTTCGCAGCCTCTCCTGTGCTTCTTCCAGGCTTGGGAGAACACTTTCTCTGAACTATGAAGCTCTGGAAAGGGGGAGTGAGAGCCCCATTTTGGCGGCTGCGGGGCGTTTCAGCGTTCCGGGCCGCTTCAGGAGGCGGACCCTGAATCTCTTCAGGATCGCCCGCTCCCGAGGCGACCCAAGGCGGGCTGGGAACGGGACTACATCTCCCGTCATCCCGTCGGGCGCCGCCGCCATCTCGGCACCAACCGCCGGGCCGGGCCGGGCCGGGCCGGCGTGCCCGTATTCCTGCTCCCCGCTCTGTTCTTCGAGCCCCGCCGCGTTCCCCACTGCCCGCCATGAGCTGGGACGGCGCCGGCGAGGAAGTCCGGCTCCTCCTGGACCTGTGAGTGCTGCCCCGACACGCTCCCGCCTGCCCGCCCTGCGAGGGGGGCCAGGGAGGGGCCAGGGCTCGCATGCTGTGGCGGCGGTGGCGGAGCGGGTGCAGAGTGCGGGTGCTGGCAGGGCTCGGCAGCGTTCAGGAGCTGCAGGAGAGGCGGCAGGGCTTGTGAGAGGTGCCTCTTTGGGAGGAGCTACAGGGCAGGTGACAGGGGTGACGAGGTTTGGCAGGGAGGTAACAGGGTGATCCTTGACGGATCCGGCTGTGGAGGGACGGCTGAGGAGCCCTGGCTTCACCTGGCCCCAGAAAATCCAGTGAATGGTGTTTTGCTCTGAGTTTTTCTCCATGTTGATACCGAAATTGGCTAGAAAACAAATTTTCTGACACGATTTGAAGTATTAGAAAACAGGCATTCTTTGTTGCAAAGCTGGGCACATCTGGAGGATTTTTCCTCTAAGCGGGTACGTCGTGACACTACAAGATGTTTATTGCATAGTGCTCATACGTATTCTTTAAAGCGTACTTCTCACTTTCCTGGAACGAATTTGCATGCATCCACGTCTTACTGGAAGTCATTTTGTAGTCCTAGAGGGTCATCTGAAGGGGTCTCTGGTGGTCCTCAAGTGCCCCCAATGTTGCAAAGGGTGATTTTGCCTTGAACGTCTCTTAGGGCATGTGCTGTTACTTCTTGTTACATAACTTCGGCACAAAAGCCACTATCCACTGGTTTCAGCTACATTTAGCATCCTGTGTGGCTACTTTTTTATTCTGTTTTCTGATTTAGTAGTTAGTCTTTAAGCTCTGTCTTGCAACTCTAAGGGGAACTGAAAATTTCTATTCTCTGCATTATCTGTCAATGTCAAATTCCTTTGTGTTCGGGAGGAAGTTAGAAACAGCACTACAGGAATACTACAGGAATAAAATATTTAATTTCAAAGATAGAAGAAAAATATCTAGCAAAGAGTTAGATTGTTATTCATACCTTAAAGCACTGAAGACAAGATTATAGTTGCCATGGTGTAGCCAGTAAGTGTTTTAAAGTTTCCTGTAAAGTAGAATTACTTGAAATAAAGGTGAAAATCTATATAATTTAAATGATTGTTTTAACTGCAAATCAGTATTGTACTATGAGAATATCAACCAGCTTTTTTAAAATAACGTGATTAATCTTAATAGCCATTCGAGCTAAATTTAATATGCCATGGTAAGAGACAGCTGGCATAGCTCACATTGATTTCCACGTGTCTGTGTTGGGTTTCGAGTATTTTCTGCACATTTGAACTAAGTCGTTGGTTTAGATTTAGAGGCCCCTTTTACAGGTGCATTAGTGAGACAAGTCCCTGCTTTCTGCTCATCATGTTGCACAGATCCTGCCTGTGAGCAGGTTCACGTTTGTGGTCTTCAGAGATGATAATAAATGGTGTATTTATTATCTTTGATAAGATTGGGGTTTTTTACAGGTAAACAACTATTCTTAATTTCTGCAGTCAAGTAAAGGAATGTTGTATATAGATAAGCTGTTTAATCTCAAAACAAAGAATGTGGAAAGTGTAACCTATACGTACTGAGACAGAGCTTGGTACAGGCTTCTCTGTTGGTCAGTCAACCAAGTTCATCCAACAGTCACTGAGGTTCCATAAAGGCATGGAATTCTTGCACATCTCTGCAGGAATGAGTTAAAGGTGATCCTGGTGTGTGCTTGGGTATATAAGGGTCTCTGCAGGCAAGGCCTGGGTTTAACTGCCCAGGTTCTGTTTGAAATGTCTCCTCCATACAGTGTCCTCTGCAGTGACCTGCTAGAGGTGTTCTTCCTACACTGTACGAACTTCAGTGGGTTTTTTTTAATGTGCTACCATGCTGGAAATCTTGGTTCTTTCCTGCCTTAAGTCTCTGTTAACCTTCAGATTATAAAACATTGATATTTTGACCTCTTTAAAGTTTTTATTTGGTGTGAGTTTGATTTCCTGCAGTTTGGTGGCATTCTGATGCCAGACAAGGTTTTGTTGCAAAACCAGTTGCCTGTAGGGACTCCAGAGCTGTGGTCGTATTGATTTATTAAATCTAGATATTGACCTAATATTGGTACCCACCTATGATGGACACAAGACTCTCTAACAGTTTAAAGTTAGAAAGCATATGTTTAATTCGACTCTGGGCAGCTGCGTGGGGTAGCCCCCTAAAATACACTACAAAGTTACAAGCAATTCTAGAGTCTATTTATTTATAAACAAAAGTTGAAAATATTTACATATTCATAACACTAACACGTCCTATGGTAATTAGCTTAAAAGGCTATTAAGCATGCTTAGTTTGCTCCCTGAATTGGGTCAGTGGTCCTTTTTATGGGGAGGGGACATAAAAAGAGGAAGTAAGGTGAGTCTTCCTCATTCTGAGCTTTCAACCCCTTACATAGATGACAATACAAATGAACTCTGGGAGAACTCCAATTTTCTCTCTCAGTGACTTTTGAATGGGTTTCCAGATGTAAAAGATTTGCAATTGTCTGTGTTCCTTTAGATCTGTTTATCAGTTTCTACATTTCTCATTACAAACACAGCTAAACAAACATAAAAATGTCAAGCAATTAGTTATTTAAATCCAGGATAACCATCTCAAATCCAGCTTCTTTTAACTAACTACTTACTCTTAATTATTTCCAGCAAAGCCTATCTTTCTGTCTGTCTGCTCCAATTAATTCCAGCAAATCTATCTTTAGCTAAAATCTTAACTTTTCTAAAATCTGTGTCTCAGCATGCCAAATTTAATTTGACATTTCTCCAGGCTGCTGCTGCCCCCTGCACTCAGCCACTTGTCCTGGCAGTGTTGTTTCTGTGTCCTCAGAGTTTTAGTCAAGGGGAATTTTCATTCAGATCAGATGCTGAACAGCTCTCACTGCAACTGCGAATTTCAGAGACAACTTGAGGAAGGCACAGAAAATAATGGTTGATTTTTGTCTTCAGCTGCTATGGGAACAGTTTCACAGAAGGATCAGCTTGACCCCAAAGGGCAACAGCTGAATCAGTGGTAACACTGAACAGCTGAAACTGATACGGTCTGAGAGGACCATAGCTGGATGCAGAAGATGACAATTAATGGCTTGATTGTTCTAGTTCCTACTATGTAATGCCTCTTTTTGATGTACTGTAACTTTCCTTTATTTCAGATGCCTTCAGTGTTTGACAAAGAACCTTTCCAGATACTCTGCAGATATTAAGTCATTGCCACCCAATATAAAGGATAAACTGATTAAATTAATGAGTAGGCAAGGGCAAATAACTGATGCAAATATCAGTGAGGTAAGAATCCATTCAAAACTATACTGCCTATTTTGAGAGGGGAAAATAGCCTCTCTTGCATACTGGTATATATATATATATATATAGAGGATATCAGCAGCTTGTTAGAATTCTGTTGGTAGAATTCTATTGACATTAAGCACACAATCTGCATATAATTTATTTAAATTTTGGTTCCTTGAAATACAATGATGGCAGAGCTAGAAATCTATAGTTCAAGTTCTCCCATCCCTTTTGCACACTGATGTGTGTTAATGCTTCAATATCACACCAGTTAATGACATTTCTTCAGCTGTAGATTCAGGGCACGTCTGTTTTGCTGTCTGTTTACTGTTATCTTGTTCAGCCTCAAATGGAGGCATGAGAATTGAGGGAAGCTAAAGGTTGGCCCTGGTGAAGCAGAAAATTAATGACTCCCTGTACATTCCTGCTTTGACCTGTAACTTAAGAGACAAATATTAACATTTTCTCAGGGTCATCATGGTGGAGCCAATACTAGAAGCAGAAGCACTGTGGAAAACTTACAAACAAAACGATTTAGCTTTAGATAAAATTATTTTGTGCTTAGGCAAAGTAAGTCTTTGAGTAAAAATCAAATTCTTATTAATTTATCTTATTTTGGAAAAATTGACTGGACAAAATCTGGTTGAGGCTAGCTTTTCAATAAGGAATAATTTCAGAACATCCTAAGAGATTATATAATTAAAGCCATATGATTGTATGTGTATAAATGCGCAAAATCTGTTAGGATATTTTTAGTCTGGAAATAAATTAGAGACCTTAATTTACAGGCTTTTCTGCTGTCTCTTTCTAAAGTCTCCTCTGTATTTGTCTTCATTCACCAGTTGATCAGTACCTTCTCTTGGAGTCTATTTTCCATGTGATTCTGGGAAATTCTGCTCTGTTTTTTTTTTCCTGTGTTTTTCCTTTCTCTGTTCCTGCAGTTTCCTGCAATTCTATCCTTAGCCGTCATAATTTTCCTTGGACATATTATAGCTTAGCTTTCTTTGCTAGCAGTTTCCCCTTTGTTTTTATATATGTACTTCATGTCTTTTCTCTGTTTTTCAGGGTTTTTTTTAAATAATTTTGCTTGAAGTGAAATTTCAGTTGAAATTCTGTTAATCTGAACTTTCGTGTAAACTTCTATTTAATCTCTTACCTCCCTATTCTTTTTCAAATTTGTGTTACCATGCATCTTTTCCCCCCTTACTCTGCTTTTTGCTTGGAGCAGCCATCCACATGTATGCCAAACTCCTTATTCTAAATGCCTTTTACCATAAAGTTTGATAAAGCCATTCAGCATGTGTCCACAGAATATAAGCCTGTGTTTTTAAATGTCTTTTTTTGTGTGCTGCATCCAGACAACCCTTTGTCTATCTAAAAATCTTGTGTATTTGCAAAAGAGCCAGTTTTCCATGTAGTATCTTTGTTGTACCTTGTTAGAGTGAACAACAGGAGGATTAGGCCTTTAACAAGCCTGTCAGTTTTGCTGTTACCTTTGCTAGTTTATGGAAATTTATGTTCTATCCCTGGGAGTTAAGGGAGGGAGTGACAAGTTAAATGGACTATATGGCTATTGTTACTAAAATCTGAGGCCTTCTACTGCTTTGGGTCTAGCTTTCATAAATGTTCTCTTGGGAAAGATTTCACAAAAATTCCAATCTGGGTCTTGGGGGAATGAAAGATTACATTTAGAGGATTTAGTACCTCTTCATGCTATGGTAATGAGAGTGCTTGTTTATGAGGAAAAGAGTGTGTGTGGGTGAGAAAAATACTTTGGGGGAAAATACCTTCCAAATATCACTCTTACCTTTTGAGCAGGATGAAGTTTTGATCACAGTCAGTATTATTTTACACTGCAGATTTCTGCCCCCAGAGCTGTGCTAGCAGGTGTGAGGGCATTGTCCTGGGTACACAAGCAAGTGATCCTCCAAGATTGTATTTCCATTGTTTAAGTAGCAGTATTAATGTTTTCCTACTCTGTATGTCACAGAAACAGTTCATGCTGTCAGGAGCTGAACTGTTGCACATATAGACCAGATTTTCTTTCATTTTTAGTTCCTAGGACTGGTAACCCCACCCTCTATTGCAAACTTCTATATGATGTTTAATATTGCAAGTATTTTCTATAAAAATGCACATGTTTGATGGCATAGCAGAGTTTGACTGAAATAGTGGGTTTTCATTACAGGTATTGCACCCTGCTGTGGAGTCTCTGGACCTCCGAGACTGTGATATTTCAGATAATGCATTATTGCAGCTTTATAACTGCAAGCAGCTGAAAAAAATCAACTTAAATTCTTGCAAGGAGAACAGATTTGGAATTACTTCAGAAGGTGTGTTATCTGTGCACAGATAACTGGGATCTTATTTCTGGCTTATTTTTCTTGTTAGATTGGAATAAATTGCAAAGAAAATATCTAGGTTAAATATTGCTTAAAAAAATCCCCAATGCCACTCCGGTACTAATTAAAAATCTTTCCAGTGGTGTAAATTTCAGGCCTAGAGCACTAATTATCTTAGGACAGAGCTATCAAGTTACTCTCCTGTTAGATTTTTGGTAAAACCGTGCTATGCTCAACGTGTTTTCCATTTTATCTAAATTATTCCTTCCTCAAAACTTGTTCCAGAGCCTTTGGACTCAGCATGGTGGTTATGTTAAAGAATGAATAACTCTTTCAAGTGTTGTTTCTTTGGCAGGGGTCATAGCACTGGCCTTATCCTGTCCTTACCTGCGTGAAGCGTCTTTCAAGAGGTGCTGTGATATAACTGACAGTGGAGTTCTGGCTCTTGCACTCAACTGCCAATTCCTACAAATAGTGAACCTGGGCAGCTGCTCAGGCATCATGGATGCATCTCTGCAGGCACTAGGAGAAAACTGCAAATTTCTTCACAGTGTAGACTTCTCATCCACTCAGGTAGCTACAGTGGCAATTGGCCCATTGACTTTTGTTTGTTTCCTTTTGGATTGTCATGGAAAAGTTCGAAGGGGATCATTTTAATTCTACTCTTGACAAGATTTAGGACTGCAGTTTACTTTTAATTTCTGCCTCTTAAGGAAAAGGAAAGGTATATTTTGCTTATTGGTGACTGGAAAAATACACATTTTGGTAGAGCATGTATGGTGAACTAAAGATAAACTTTTGTTAGAATCTAGGGGGGTTTTCTTAGTATATTTATTTAGTGCAGTCATTTTCTTTAAGTTGTAAAGTAATGCAAAATGTTCCATTTAAAGAAAGTAGAATCTTGGACAGATTATTGCCTGCTTCATCAGTTAGAACAAACTGATGCAGGTTATAATCTAGGATGTCAAACAATACAAGCCCCTAGTAGAAGTAAACACTCCATAATTAAATGATATTCTAGAAGTGATTGTGCTTGTCAGAGTTAGGTTACAGAGTCAACACTGAAAGAATGGCATTTTAAATGTCAGAAATGGCAGGGAAGAGGATTTAACAACAGAGTTTAGCATGAGAACGGGGAGACGAACTGCAATAACAATCCTGTAACATGTTTCATAATTACAGTGAGATAATGAAGCGAGGGAAAGGTTTTTTGCAGTAAGTGTAGTTTTCAGTTGACAGTGATGGTGAGTAATTATGTTGAATATGAGTCCAGTCCAGCATTGACAATGAAATGTCAGTTCTGGAAATCATGTAGGAGGTTCTTATTTTAGATGCTATTCTTCTTTTGATTTTTCCACAAGTAGGGTGTCAATAGAGTCTTAATATTTCATTTGGTAATTTTTATTTATTACTATTTAACTCTCATTTTTCCAGACTTACTTCATTGGTTTTTTATTTCCTTTATTTCCCTGTGTATTTTTTAAATGAGGTAAAAGCTTCTTGAGTAACTACATGTTTACACTTTTTTTTTACTTTTCTGCTATGATTACTTTTTTTCCCCAAATTGGTCTAGGCAGAGCAGAAATACTTTTTAAACCTATAAATTAAAAGTGCTATGCTCTGACCATATTATGTACCCACAGTTAAATGAGACAAGGAACCTGCAGAAATAGCAGTTACAGAATTGGAAACATCCTTGCAGAAAGTCAGGCTGGCTCAGGTGGCAGGAAAATGAAACAATATTTAATAGAATGAAAAAAACCCACCCTGGATCGTTTTCTCTGCTAGTTTAGTTGGGAAGAAAATACTGTAGTGTTAAGTGTATTCACTGACTGCAGGGAGTGAATAAATTAATATGATTTTCACATCCAAATAGCTGTGTTTGAAAAAATTGAGCTTTAATCCATTGTGGTTTTTTCTTCAGGTAACAGATGATGGCGTTGTAGCACTAGTGAGTGGAACATGTTCAAAGAATTTAAAGGTAACTGACTTAACCTAATAACAAAGGGATGAACAAAAGAAAATACCTGCATTTTTAAATTATTATTTTAAAATTAAAATTATTTAAAATATTATTATCAACAGCATTGTATCTGAGGGAGAGTTTTACTGACTGACTTTCATTTCTGTCCTCTTTCAAGTTCGTTGCAGCTTATAAATTGGAAACACTTTCCAATAAGACAATGGGTTTTTTTTACTTTTACTCTATGATCTCCAAAATATATTTTACTAAATCCTAATTTTACTAGATTTGATGATCTTTTTTCTGCATTTCTTCTTATGTGTTATATTTATTGATAGGTAAGGTAATTTAGAGGAGGGGAAATAAGTTGGTAATAATCTATTTCTTTATTCTGCTTTTCATCTTAGCATGTACAAGAGGCATAGTTGTACACCTGCAGAGAAATGAAGAAAAGAGCAGGGTTTAGTCTAATCTTTAAGAAGTTCTTTAATTTCTTTTAGGAACCATGCAGATAAGTAGAAATACCAGAAACTTCAGCAGAGGCTATTTGGGAAAACACCAGAATTTAGTTTGGGTTCTGTTTTCCTGGACATCCAATTGGTAGGAGAATGTCATAGGCAAAGTGATGGGACTCAAACACTATGGAATCTCATTGAAGAGTTTACTCAGATGTCTTGAATGGTATGTGTGTATTGGGATAACTCAGCTTTATGTTTTTAGTTGAGACTCTTTACAGAAAAGCTGTCTTATCTTTCCTTAGGGTATTTTCCTGCTCTGTACTGGACCACATATGAGATCAATACACAGAGGTCATAATTCCTTCTGGTTGGGGATCTCTGACATGGGTTGGGCAAAGGAAAGCTTTGCCTCTGAAACTCTGGGTGCTCTAACAAGCTGTTGTCATTCCTGTTTTCCTAACAGGAAATCCACATGGAGCGCTGTGTGAATCTGACGGACATTGCTGTGGAAGCCGTCCTTACTTGTTGTCCCAAGATACACATTTTTCTGTTCCATGGATGCCCCCTGATAACAGGTAGGTGTAATCACAAGAAGGTAATTACTTGCTGATCATACCTTCTTGCTTTCTGAAAAGCACACTGTATGCCATAAGTAATCCCAAACAAATAATGAGTTACTGGGTAAAATCATCATCGCACACTGAGATTTTCAAAGCAAGGTGAGAGTTTTGCTTTGAAATGTGGCAGCAGCCTTCAGAGAGGGGAAATTTTTGTTTGTTTGGAAATCGTATTTTTTTCTCCTTCAGCATGCTGATGAAGACCCAAAGACTTCAGAAAAATATTAGCATCTTAAACCCCTGCTCCATTCCAAAAGTGTGGAACAGCATCCATTCAAGAAACAGTGGAATGGAGTAGGACAGCCTGTGGGTGTTAGCTTCTGTTTATTGGTGATGCTTTACAGTTAGGTGATTGGAGATACATCTGTAGTAATCCAAACACTCGTGGTTCTATCTGAAGTGTAATATTGTGATAGCAAAAGAAGCATAAATGCAGATATAGAATTCCTTTACTGTGTTGATACCTATTCCAAACACCACCTCTATATTCTGAATGAATAACAAGAAATTCCTTTGTCCTTTTTCAGATCGTTCCCGAGATGCTTTAGAGCAACTCATCATATCAAACAAAATCAAGCAACTAACATGGACTGTTTACTGATTATTTATCCTGTACATGTGAGTGTCAAGTTTACAGGTGGGAGAGCTCCTTCAGCCAACAAGGCCCTGGAGAACTAACTGGTGGCTCCTGTGCCACCAGGTTGCATCCCTCCTGCTTCCCACTGGAGGTCTCTGTTGCCATTCCAGTCCTTGCCTGTGAGGCTGGGCTTCCACATTATCTGTCCTTGGAGCCCTGTCTGTCTTTGCATTGATCATACTTCATTAAGAGGAAAGTTAAACTATAATTAATATTACAGAGCCGTTGCTCAGGCTTCACGAAGTGTTGGATTTGGCTGCTACTTAGTATCCTTTAGCAACTTAGCTACATGTACAAACCCAGTTTAGGTAAGTCTGCGTTCTGAGTTCTGTATTCTGGGATGGTACTTGCAACTGAAAGTACTGAGCCCAAATGTAACATTGGTACACAGAAATGTCTGTGAAGTTGGGAGTTTAATCTAACAAAAATCAACAGACATAACTGGTGAATGGAGGTGGCATTAACAGCAATAAAAATGTGCTTTCAATAGTAACAAAGAATCTCCTTTCACCATATACTTTTGCTAGGTCTGGAATAAAAAATGTAGGTACCTTTCTTCTGATGTTACTGATGCTACAAATTTCTGTTCTTACTTGCCATCAAATACTTGCTGGATTTTTACACATCCAAAGCTACAGCCTGTGAATGTGTAAACATAAACTTGCTTTGGAATTGTTATGGTGACTTTACAAATTTCACAGTAATAGCTATGACCAAGGAAAGGACTTTATATGTGGGCAAATATTTAATTTGCTCTGGCTTTTGCCTATGTTTCTACATAAAAATCCTTTTAGGGAACAAAACACTAGTACTCGTAAGCGTGAGTGAAATAGGACCAAATGTAGTGTCTGAGCACATAAATCTCAGGATGGTAGAGTATATGTTTTGCTGTATGCAGTTCGTTACATATCCAGTGGCTTCCAGAAGCTGAAAATATCAATAAATTTATTGTTCAGTTATATTAATATTAAAAAATAATTTTTGAACTGTAGAATGAGTTTATTATATGATGGAGCAGTGCTCTCATCACAGTTTTAAGATGTTCTTTGGCTTTCTTGAACCAGCATAACCTGTAGTGAGAATTCCATTCTTTCTGCATTAAGCTCCTTAATGCCAGCTATTTTAGCTTTGTAAGGACATGGAGCACACTGGGTTCATCCTCTGGATCTGGAAGTAGGAGGGTTTAGCCAGGGTGCTCTAGTATGGATTTGATGACATTTGGAAAACTAAAGAGTTTAGGCAACTGTAAGGAATATGTTTACTTTACTATTTAACTTTAGTCATAGCCACACCTAAGTGTTGCAGAAATAAACCAGTCATATTCATCTATTTAAAGTTCAGGTCTAATTGCATGGAAGGTATTTTTTGCTGCCAATATTAAAGCATTCTATGATGTCTGACAATAATCTTCGTTCTTCTGTTGATCGTATGGTTTATGAAAGTGCAAGTCTGTTTAGGAAAGTTGTTCAGGTGTAAGTAAAAGTGTATTTTTCTAAGACCAGCACCTAAATCCCTTACTCTTGTTGCATGGCTCAGCCCAGTGATGAATGTGTTCCTATGATCCCTGTGGGTGTAACTGCAGCAGTACAAACCATTGGTGCAAGGAGTTTATTTTACTGCAGTAGCCACAAGCATCTGACAGCTGTCAGTCTGTCACTGCAGCAAATCCTTGTTTCAGATAGAGGCCTAATAACCTAATCTACCA